TTTTTTCTCTCTCTAGATTCTTCGAACAAACAATCCCACTGGGAGAGGTAGATGTAGATGGCTAAACAAGTCAGGGTTTTCTTCTTGTAGTTTGGTGCTATTGCAATTGGCTATTGAAGTATCGGAACATTATAGGGGGCCACCCTGGGTAGAGGGGGTAAAATGAACCTATTTATTTTGGTGGGTTCGGTCGTATTAAAGTGGGTTAAAGTGAGTGAATTCGTGCGTAGGGGTGGGTCAATATGTGGATTAGCTTCTTCTTTTTTTAATGTCAAGTAATATTTTATTTTTGATGTCAAGTTTTTGTAATAACCAAATTTTTTATCTCAGCACTTCTCTACAAAAAAATAAAAATAAAAAACATTTGATTTATGACAAAGGTTATTAATATATGGAGGTAAAAATGAATTTCTAGCTATTGTCAAACTAAATATTAACATATATTTAAATTTGAGATTGAAAAAAATAAATAAAAGTATGAAATGGAATTAAATAATATTACAAAATTCATAAAATGATATTTATTTTTAAACGAATTTATCTGCCAACCTGCTAAAAAAATAAATACGAGTATAAATAAGACGGGTTGATATTTGCAATTCACTTTTACAAGATGGGCTAACTCATCCTGTCCTATTTTTGGTGGGTCGAAGTTGACCCACTGACTTTGTAACTACTAACCCTGGAGTTGTTGAAGCGAATGAGGGCATAGTGGTTTAAAATTTTAGAATAAGATTTTTCATTTGATTAACAATGCATCGTATTTTAAATAATCAAAATTTAAGAATAAATAAGTTTTATAGCTATTGTTGTTGAGTTTATTCTATTCTAGCTTCCGTATCGCATCATTCTTCCAATTAAAACATGCTTTCATATTTTTATTTTTTTAGGTGTTATCATCCTTTTTACTTTTATTTTATTTTAAGAAAAAACAGTGAGAATAAAATCATTGTAAAAAAATTATTAATATTGTATTTTTACACTATATATATGTTAATATTATTATAATCTTTAGGAAGAGATATATTTATAAATTTTTTGTTTACAAACTTTTACAAATTATATTATGTACTCTCGGAAGTATACTAGGTTATACTATGTACTTCCAGAAATATATAGTGTAATTACTTCCGGAAGTATATAATGTAATTTGTAAAAATTTGTAAAAAAAAATTGTAAATAGATCTATCTCCTAGTTTTTATTTTAAATTTTATACGTCCTGTTGTGCCGTTGTATTGTTCAATTATTAATCACGAGCAATGAATGAGAGTTGGTTCAATTAGCAAGATTAAATTACATCGACGCAAAGGTTGTAGGATCGATTTTACTGGTGATCCTTCTGACGAGGCTTGAAACATGTACTGAGATGTGGAGTACTTAAGGTAGAGATATTCTTTAAAAAGTACATAATTAATAAATGGTTGTGAGAAAATTAAAGATATCTCGTGGTTGACCTTGAAATAAGATAGTTTATCTGAAGAATTAATTTAACCTAAATCTTTAAGGTGTTGGGTGATGATTTTTTTAATGATTTATATTATACTCTAACACATTTCAAAATTTTAAGATATTGGGTAAGAGCTTTTATAATAGTTTATATTATTCTCTGATACACCCCCTCATGTAAGAGTCCTCCACTTTTTGTTTTGTTTTGTTTTTACCTTGTGCTGCATATGCTCATTTTTTGGTTTACCTTGTACTTTTCTTTCCATTTGAAAGTGGGGAACAGTGAGGATCGAACCCGTGAAATCGTGGTCACTGAAGTTCTGATAACATGTGAAGAACCAATTCAACCCAAAGGTTTAAACTGTTGGATGATGTTACATTAATGATTTTATATTTCTCTAACATTTCCTCTCCTCTAAAATACCTTATTTTGAATATTTTTTAGATTAATATCCTTAATAAGTTATCAAACACTAATAAGTTTTTTGAACCCCCAAATGTAATGCTTGCTTGTGGATTATTGGCCTCGAGCCTTGGCTTGGATATTTTATGGATGAGAGTATGAGACTAGTCATCCATAAGATTAAAAAGATATTCTCATCTACCATGTGGAATATATGGTGGTGAGTTGTAAATAATAAACCTAACACTCCCTTTAAGGGGCAGGTGAGGGTTGGTCCCATGTCATTCATGCCACCACTCTGCATTCCCATTTTAATGTTAAATAAAAAATAAAAAATCAACCTATAATTAAGTACAATTAGCTAGGTAAGTATTAAGAATTTATCATCTATTCATTTTCTCAAAGCATGTATAATATTAGTAATATCTTCAAATATTGTTCCTAGTGAAACAATAAATCAAAATTAATAGCCTGCATGTAATCTGTATATAGGCTTCAAACTCAACGTATTGAACTGGCTACACAAACCAGTTTTTGGATTTGTACCGAAGACGACAAAAGTAAAACACCCCTTTATATATGTAAATTAATATTTGAGACCTAGCTAGGTGTAATATACTAAAAATTTTCCTTGCCTCAAAATATTTTCCTCTTGCCGTTTGATTCTTTTCAAGATCGCCACGTGCAAAAATAAGAAAGAAATCTTCCAACCTTCTTTAGCTCCCTTCAATTAGAATCTCCTATTGCATTTGAGTTGGCACTTTTCCGTTTTTTAATTTCCACGAAACACATAAGAAACGCGAGTTGATTTGTATTATTATTTATTTAGAAGATGTCAAGTGCGAAGACCAGGTTGATGGTTGCCAGCAGTGTTTAAAAACCCGGCCCGACCATCAATCCGGCCGAGGTCAGGAGTCATGGGGTCACGGGTTCAACCGAGGGGTCACGGGGTCACTACGCTGACCCGATTTTATATATATATATATTAAAAACCACCAATCTTCAAAGATTCAAAATATACTTAACATAATTCACCAATTACAACCACAAGTCAATATTACACAACATAATTAAAGTATCAAGATACCAAAGTACAAAACTCATATTCTAATAGGGTCACTACGGTGACCCGGTTCTGCCTCTTTTGATAAGGTCTCTAACAAAGGAAAATTTAAAGGAAGTAAGAATGAGTTTTTGTTTTCCATCAACCGCTGTAAAGATTTTATTTGAATGAGAAAAAATTCTTACCTTTTCTAGAAGATTCACGGAAGCGAGGTGAAGATTGAAGACATCTAGGTCACTGGGAGAGAAGAGAAAGATTAGATTTAGGTTTGTAAGCATTTTTATTTTATTTTTTTAATAAAACGACATTGTTTCAGGGAATTTTTTTTTTTAAAAAAAAGCATGCAGTGACTCCATTTGACTCCTTTGACCCGGGAGTCACTAAAACCCGGCCAGATTTTGGGGGTCGGAGGGGTCGATGTGCATATAAAATTCAACTTGTGACCCCAACCCTTAAGGGAGGGGTTCAGGATTGACCCGAGTCAACCCAGGAGATGAGGTGGAATTTTAAAACACAGGTTGCCGGGTCCTTCGCTGCCTCATCTACTCTCTCACAATATCCTTTGAAATATGAATACTGCTTGCTTACCTTCTAGACGTTGATTCTTATTGATCTTTCAAGGAACGATCCAGGATATTTGGTTATTCATTGATCCACTAGTAATAATTGAGAAAACTTGAAATGTTTCTATTCTCATTAAAAAATAATATTACGAGACTAAACATATAAATATTAAAAATTGACCAATATAGGCTTGTAACACTTTAACAATGCAATACTATTTTGTTGTATTATTGCAATTCATTAATTAGTGATTTATTTTGTGTCATAACTTATAATCTCAATTTGACAAACAAATATTTTAAATCAGATATAGATTTATTTGTACACTTGATATGGGTATGGATTTGATTATAGTGTATTGTTTACGTAACACTAAATTTTAAAAACAAGTATACATATGTATAAGAGTCGTTGTATTTGGTATTATTTTTTTCATTGCAGTTAGAGAGTTTTCGAGCCACCTTATTCACACCTTAACTAATCACGTTTTCAATGGGTTTGATAAAAGAAAAGTCATTCAAATTAAGATTAGAAAAATAATATAATTAAGCTACTGAGATAGGTCTAGTGATAAGGAGGTTTGGTAGTTTGTATTAGGTTATGTGTTTAATTCTTATTATTGTATCAAAAAAATAAAAATAAAAATAATATAATTTCTAATAACCTAACTCTAAGTAACTAGTATAATTTGGATTCATCAGATACATCACTCATTTGTCTATCGCTAGCTAACCCAATCCTTTGAAGTTATTTCTTTTGTTACAATGATTTTGTATGAACTCACGTATAGCTAGTCATATAATCATTTATTTATAAAAATAATAATATGATATTTGTATACCAAAAAGTAAATTATATCAATTTTAAGTAATAAATATTCTTAAAAGTAATGAGATGAGAAAAACATAATTCTAAGATATACTCTATAACTTTAATTTCCCAATAAAAGAAAGTGTAGAGTTGATGTATTGCTATTGACATGCAAGTAACATAATCCTTATACAAACTCAAGTTTATAACATAATTAAGGACTTATGCGAATAGTAGCCTCCATTCCCAATCCGCCGTCACCTTCACTAAAAAATTTTCGTCTCAAAATTCGTTTTTTTTTTTTCCTCTAGTAAACTTCCATTCTATTTCTTGTTTCTTTTTCCAAACTTATGTTTAATTTCAACACGTTAATGTTCTGTCAACATATATAATAGAGTCTTTCTTCCCGTCCATAATCTTGCCCACTACGCAAGAAAACCGTACAATCACCATTAACTATACACAATATAAACAAGGTTACACACCAATTTTCAATTCCGTTATTACTTTCTTTGATTAACACATAACCCCTTCTCCTAACCAAAAATCTAGAAACAACCCTCCTATTTTCCAATCAGGTCCAATCCCAATTTCCCCTATACATATTCAAAGCCCCAAACCAATTTATTCCCCCACGTTACCAATATAAATAAAAACACTCTCTGAGGACATCATCAAACAGTTATATCATCTAACTATCCACACACACTCCAATGGAGTATTTCAACAAAGCCAAGGCCGTGAAGCTGCGTAGTCACCTTGGAAAGTATCTAGTTGGAGATGAAGACCAAGACAAGATTCATCAGAGCAGAAAAGGGTCCACGAAAAAGGCAATATGGGTGGTGGAACTAGTCGAAGGGAAGAGCCACCGTGTGCGGCTGAGGAGCTGCCATGGCCGGTACCTCACGGCGACGGACATGCCGTTTCTCCTCGGCATGACCGGAGACAAAGTGGTTCAGGCGGAATTAGACGCGGGTTTGGATTGGAAATACGAGTGGGAACCAATAAGAGAAGGGTTGCAGGTGAAGCTGAGGAGCTGGTGTGGGAAGTACCTTAGGGGTAATGGTGGCACGCCACCATGGAGGAACTCGATCACTCACGATGATCCTTATAGCTCTAAGACACATAATTGGATCCTGTGGGGTGTGGAGGCTGTGGAGTTCTCAGAGAAGAAGGGTTTCTTTGCGGAGAGTGTTGTGTCTTCCTCTGATTCTGATGAGATTCTTGGCTCTGAACCTCCATCTCCCATGTCGGTTTCTTCTGTGGAGTCTTCGTTGCTGAGTCACAATTCAAAGTTGAAGGTGCGTGTTCATGTTTGACTGTACTTGGTTGTTTTTACTTGTCAACTTGATTTTGCATGTTGTTGGGAGAATTTACTCAATTAATTATTTTATTGATTGGAGGATGAACGGGATTAGGGAATGCATTGTCTCATATGTTATTATAATCATGTTATTGGGAAGAATTTTAATAATTTATGAACAAATTGACAATTATTTTTGTATTACTTATTATTCTAATATTTTTTTTTGTCTCTCAACTTTTATCACCTTTGATTTGTTCAAAAATAATTATATAATTACCTCCTATGTCTTGATTATGTTAAATTAAACATGAGATGATCATTTCTCACCAAATAACAACTCTCATTGCATTTAATGGTTCATATGCACTCTAGAATTAATCAACTATTAATAACAAATATTTATAGTTAATTAGTATAATTAGGAGGTACAACACAATACAATAATTTAAAAGCATGTCAAAATTGTTGATAAGAATACAATCCGCTTATTTTTTGCGAGTTGAATGACACAACATAAATAACTCTTCAATCTCTCAAAATGTACTATTTATTATATAGGTTGACACGATACGAAATGAAACGAAATAGCACGAATAATATGTAAAAAGATTAGCGCAGATTAATTTTGTGTTTGCGTGTTAACACGAGATACGAATTTTTTCGTGTCGGTTTTTTGTTTGAACATGAATTTTTTGTATCATGTTGAAAATTGTTATCTATAAGGATAATGCAAATTATCTAAATCCTTCACCGGTAAGTGGTAGCCTACTCCAGATATTTATTTGATTGAAAGTTATGATTTAATAGATTTAGAGATTTTTCGAGCAAAGATTCATAAATAAATCATTTATTGATTAGTTTTGATTCTGTTGACCTGCAGGTCGAAACTCTACAATAAATAGTCACCAAAACTATGTCAAATGCTAATAATGTATTTGAACTAAACTAAGATGATTATTGTTGACAAAAAGTTGAATAGATGCATATTACGATCACTGATGATGAAAATTTAAATGAATTCAGAATAAAACACCTTGTCGTTGCTATTTACAAATAAATTAATCGTTTTGTATGTCTTTTAATTATATCAAAATATGTCATATATATCTTGCTAAGAAGAACATTTTAGTTTTCAGTGTAAACAACTTAAAACTGCATGCGCAGCAGAACATTTTGAAACCTTCCAATTATAGATATCAATTTATTATGACAATTTAATCGCCATGATGACTAATTAATAATGTTGTTTTAATTTTATTTTCTTAACAATAAAATGGCATTCACACACTGCATCACTGACGTTCACACACTTTTCAATAGCGTTTTCTAAAAAGAAAAAATAAAACTACTTTTTACTAGGGATCTATTAATCTCATGTCAGAGACAAGATAGTGAGGTCCACCATTTGTAAAAAAAAAATAAAAAATAAAAAATAATGTAGACCCCACTACTTTGTCTCTAAATTATCTCATGCAACATGAGATAATTATTTCCCTTTTACTAATTACCTTCAATTGACGTTGTATGAAATTTAAAACAAACAAGGAGCACTTCCTAAAGGCTTTTAATTAAACAAGTTAATTATGCAAAAATGTATCTCGTATCATATATGTTTCGTAGAAGTAAATGAATCTGTTTACCGAAAAAAAGAAGAAGTAAATGATCTAATATCAGAATATCCATTATTAAAATGTAACTGATTTTTTGTTGTTGTTGTTTTACATTAAAATCAGATAAAAAATTATAGATAAAACTTTTCATTCTTTTATAAATAAATAATAACATTCTTTATATTTGTTGCATCTCTTTTAATAAAGTGATCAAGTGACATTGATGAGTACCAATCCTGACTCATAGACACTACTTAAATAGGGAGACAAGAAGCATCTAAAAATTAAGAACAAACAAAAAGACAAGATTTACCTTGAAAGAAGATAGATGTGGATAGAAACAACTCAAATTTTTCTGAAAAGAAGGCGATTTATTGAAAAGAAAAATACAAAACATAAAGAGAGATAGTCAAGGCTGTTATTAGAGGAGAACAACGACAACCTACTATTGCAAAGAAGCTAAAAAGAAAACAAAGATTATGAGAAGCTGAAGAAAAAAGAAGCAACAGAGACGAATATGGATATTAGCTTTTAATGAATAAACATAGATAATAGTATATATCTTGATAAAAATCTAGATTAATCTGTTAGACTCCAGGTTCGTTCAATTTGCTAAAAAAATAAGAAACAGTACGTTGAAAAAATTATATTTTATTTAATTGCTCAAATAACACAAGTACTGGATAAAGAGGGAGGATATTCTTATTACCATAATTTTTTATTACTAACTTACTACTTATCTAATCACCATTGGATCAAAGAGAAAATACTAAAAAGTTTTTGAAGAGAGAGAAAATATCAATTCAATGGTGATTAGATAGATAATAAGTTGGTAGTGAAAAATTTTGGTAGTAAAAATATTCCTTCTCCTGGATAAAAATAAACTTAAACAATAATATAATCCTCTAAAAAATATTGACTAAACCACTTTTATAAGGTTATTCTGTTTGTATTGTGCTATCAAATACAACCTAAAAATAGTACATATAAATAAGGGAAAAGTGTGTATAATTTTGAAGGATGTAAAGTTGTGTCATTTTAAGAGAGAGAAAGAGATAGATAAAGAGGAGAGAGAGTTGACAAAAAAAAATAAAGTTGTGGGTCCCACCTCTTTGTGAGAGTGAAAGGATGTAAGTTGTGTAATTTAAAAGTACAGACACTTTTCCCTATAAATAAATAAAAATGTCATAACTATCAGTTCAAACATTTTCGTTAATGACATATCATAATAAGGATTTGTATCTATCATTTAACATGACACAAAAAATGTTCCTACACATACAACATTTTGTGGAGCCCACACTTTGTAAAGCAAAAAAAAAAAAAAAAAAATTACGGCTCGCAAAACGAATCTCTATAACATTACGCAATCAATTTTTTTACAACATAACTCTTATAAAACTCATAATAATAATATCATAACAGTTAGTTACAGACAATATATTAATTTTGAGAATTTTACACGAGTATTGTGAACGAGTTCACGGGCTAAATGTTAACTAGTATTTTATTCCGATGTGAGATATTTAAGGCTCTCGTAGTTACTTTCTCTCTTTTCCGGAATGATGTCACCATGGCATAAGTCCCATCTTGATCCGTGATACTCTTTTGATTCTCTTTCTTGTTTTGCTATACTAATATCCTATTGCATTGATGCAGAATTTAATGTGAATAGGTAACGTGAGTTATTTTTAATGATTCATGATCCAATCAATGATTATTTTTTTTGAATTTTATTAATATCATATTAAAATTTTATTAATATCATATTAAAAGAAATAAATTATACCATATCATAGTGATAAATTTATGGGCTTCATCACTCAGAAAAAAAAAAAGATGATACAATTATCAAAAGGTATATAGGAAAAAAAAATTATCTCAAATAACATAAGAATAGTTTTTTCTTTATTTTATATTTTATATTTTAATACTTTAATATAATCATATTAAATAACACTAAAAATATACATAATACAAGTATATCCATCCGTGGTTGTGAAGTGTGAACACCTACAATCTGGGCCGTTCATCTTCATGTCGCCCATTCTCACCACAGCCCATACGGAACTTAAAACATGATGCACCAACCAACCGCGTTGGCGCGTTGTGAGCTGTGCTGACTGGGTCCTCTAGTTTTCCACCTGGCACCAATTGGTCTCTTTCTTCTTACATACAAAGAAATGCCAAGTCCCATCCATTCCATTCCATTCGTTTATGATCTCAATTCTCAACACTCCGAATTAATTAACTTCTCTCTCTACTCTCTTCCTCCTCCTTCAATCTCAAAGTCTCAGACCTCGTTCCAAATCGAACTAACCTCAGCTTCACACAAAAAATAAAAAATCACTGTCTTAACTATCTCATTAACTAACTAACTAACCCACCCCTTGACTTGATGCAGACAAGTTCCAACAGCAACAACAACTTTCGGTCCGGCATGGACTTGTTCCACCGAGCGAAGGCGGTCCGCCTCCGGAGCCACCACGACAAGTACCTGCACGCGGAGGAAGACGAGGAGTCAGTGACCCAAGACCGAAACGGATCCTCCAAGAACGCGAAATGGAGCGTGGAGCACGTGCCGGAATACGACAACATCGTACGACTCAAGAGCTGCTACGGCAAGTACCTCACGGCGTCGAACCAGCCCTTGTTGCTTGGCGTGACGGGGCGCAAGGTGGTTCAGAGTGTTCCGAGGAGGCTCGATTCCTCTGTGGAGTGGGAACCCATTAGGGATGGTACTCAGGTCAAGCTCAAGACTCGCTATGGTAACTTTTTGAGAGCCAATGGGGGCTTGCCACCTTGGAGGAACTCTGTTACCCATGATATTCCCCATAGGACCGCCACACAGGATTGGATCTTGTGGGATGTTGATGTTTTGGAGATCCATGTTGAGCCTCCTGCTGCTCCACCTGTTCCTCATTCTGATTCTCTTGACTTTGAATCCACCACCCCATCTGCTGTTTCCAGCAAAGCTTCCACCTTTTCGAGGCAGGAGGTATGGATTCATGGAAAAGTTTCGATTTTTTCATCTGGGTTGCTTTGATTTGTAGCTAATTTATGCCATCAATAGTGACTTTGAATTGGTTCTAGTAAAGGGAGGACTAATTTGATGTTAGAGATGGACATTTACTACTTTAATTATGGTGGAGATTTGCTTTGATTTTTGATTTTTTTTTTGTTTGGTTGAGTTTGTAGTCAACGGATTCGAATGTGGGGTCACCACCGAAGATGGAGGGAAGAACTATATACTATCATGTTGCTGAGGATAATGGGGATGTGGATGATGAGAATGTGCAGGGTTATTCTTTGAACTTCAAAGGGAATGGGGTTGAGCAGTTGACTCGTAAGTTTGAGGAAGAGACAGGGCTTGAGGGGGTTATTGTGTGCACTCGAAGTCCTTTGAATGGAAAACTTTATCCTCTTCGCCTGCAGCTTCCTCCCAACAATGTGACGATGCAGGTCGTTTTGGTTCTTTCCTCGTCAAAAGGTGAGTTTGCACTTGTCAAATGTTCTTGTGGATGCTGATTCTACTAATTTTCATGCGTCATATTACTTCTATTTGTTATATTACTGGAATTTGTATGTACTATCTGTTCCCAGAGGTTGAAGAATTAATTTTATGCAAAATTGATAAATCTGTTTGTGCTGAAATTGAGGATGTAAAAATAGCAAACTGATATTCCTAGATTTGTGCTTTAGGTGTGTCAGGCCTGGGCTATGGAAGCTGCCCATGTGGGTTAAAGTTGTGAAAATTTGTTTGTCAATTTAGTCTAAAGTACAGATTAAGTCGTAAGCTGGATGTATGATCATACAAAAGATAGCTAAGTTACAAAATGAAAAAATTCGATGATAAGTTGGAGAAGCATGGGTGGAAAAAACAATTGGGAAAACCTAGATTGGGATGGTTTAAGCATCTTCTTAGGAAGACCCTTAGATGCTATGATAAGAAAAGATGTTTGTCACCGAGAGCATAACATAAAGAAAGGAAGATGTTAGCTGAAAATTAGTTGGGGAGGTAATAAAATAAGACTTGATGAAATGATAAATAAATATGCTTGCACTTTGTCTAAGCACGAAGTGAAGTGGAGGAAAGCTGTTAATGTTGTGAAGATGCAGTATTTGTGCTATTAACTTTTCTTTCTTCTCCCTCTATCTCTCTTTTCAATCTCTGAAAAAAAATTAATTATAATTTTTTTCTCTGTTTGTATATATATATATAAATTTTTTCTTATTTATTATTCATTTTTCTTAATATGTTCTTGCTTTACATGGGTTCATTGATTGCCTATCCCAATTAGTTTGAGATTAAGGCATGTTGATCTAACCTTAGCTAAGATGGGTCATAAGCTCTCCCTCTTGCGTCCATAATCAAACTGGTCTAGTAATGGATGTTGAACTGAATTATAAAGTATTCAAGTGGAAGAGTCAGGGGTTATATTGATGATTTCATAAATAACTCTCATAAAACAGAAATTCTATATGATCTTTTATATGAGGCATTCAAGCATTTGTTCAGCTTTATATATGTTGCTTTTACTTAATTCATAGAAAAATCAATGAAGTCTGGAGGACTTCTCATTGTATCATATTTGTTTTTAGAGGTGAAATTGTATAACTGTTACAAAAGAAGTAATTTGAACTTTGAAGGAAGAGTTAATGTTATGGTGGACTAATTCAGCTATGGTTCTTCATATGTAATAAAGTTGTGCAACAAATATTAGCAATTCTCATTATAAACTTTTTATGGCTGAGAAGTAAGGAAGTTGCATCCTAGCTTTCACATAGCTTGTTTAAGAAAACACAGAGAAGAAATTGTCACAATCTGGCGATGATGGCTCATTTTCTCAAATTGCACATTAAACTTAAATTACTTTTCATTTTTCCTTCTCATTCTTCTTCCTCTCCCTATTATGGTTGGGTTTATCTTGTATGCTATCAAGTTGCCCTAACATTTGCTTTCTGTTCTGGTGTTTCAGTGGCAAGAGAATTTGAGGAACAAGGTTTACTGTGAGAATCTAGATTATTGGAGTCTTGAATCTATTCAAACGAAAGGCCTATGTACATAATGATCCAAGCGTGTTTCAAGTTGTGTGATATCATTTAAGAATAAGTTGCAAAACTCCACCTTGCTCAAGTGAAGCCAGTGCATTTATATAAGGAAGAATTCATCAAGGTTCAACATAGGTACCTTAAAGTTGCCCTGGTCAGGGTCATATCAGCAATGTACGTTCTTCAGTGGCTTGTAGACTATTCGGATGGTAGTCTTTGTTAGGCTTCCTTTTTGTTAGCGCTAGTTTTGAACATAGCGTTTGTTACTCATGTGGATTCAGGTGTTTTGTTGTTCTTTTCTCTCTTGGTAACGTTTTGTATTTCATGCTATTTTATAGGTGTAAGAATTGTATACATATAACTTTTATTATAAAACTAGAGGGATAGATATTTTTTTAATCAGATAGATTCATTTTTTAATAAAAAAAATTATTTTTAACCTTAGTTGTTTGTGTTTGCTGTTTGGAATGAGATTCTGATTCAGAGGAGAAAAAATAAACCCTATGAGACCTTTCCAGTCCGGGATAAATTATTCTATTTTTTTTTTCATCTTTATCTTATTTATCATTCTCTAACACCGATATTAACACAATTAGATTAGAATTTCAAAAGGAAAAAGAAATGATAAAGGTTAGTTAAGATTATGATCTAACGGTATTGAAGAGTAGTAAGTAAAATAGACATAAAAAAAAAGGTAAAATAATCTATCTTATAATATTGACGCAAAAAGCTTTGTTATTTGTACGAACATGATGCACTTAAGTATAATATGTTAATAAAGGGATAAATTATTCTGTTAATAAATTATGTTACCTATTTTTTCTCCATCATTGTTAGATCATAATCTCAATTAATTTTAATCATTTCTCTCTTTTCCTGATATATTAGAGAGCAGTGGATAAGGCAGAGAGGGAAAAAAAAATAGACAAAATAACATTCCATTAATAAATGATTGACTTTTTTTTGTTTGAATTATCATAATCAATTAATTATTTATTGGTCTAGTGCATGTAGGTGCACCGACTAACAAAATCTCAGAATTATTAGAAAATTTCTTCAGTATAATATAGAATGGTTCAATTTTATGATAATCACCAAAACGCAGGTTCGTGGGACCATTACCTCCGTGATTATCGTTGGATGGGTAGGAAAGTTGATACAACTCAACTCATAGGATACATGAAGATTGAAAAGGATGCAAAAGGGTCATGTGCATTAGCATTACAAGCCATGATGACCACTTATGTTGACATAAGTAATTTAAAAAACAATACTCTATTAAAATCAATATAAAACCAACTCATGTTCTGTTCCTTCGTTGAATGTGTGTCGAGGTGCATGCGATCAGCAGTGGATTATGTTTCAATTGTATTAAGTAATTGGCCTAAATCTTTCTGAAATGTTCGAATTGACTCGTGGCCATTTCAAAGCTATGTACCACCGATACTGACACGAGACATGTGACACGACACGACACTCCGACATGTTAATTCTAAAAAATGTTAGATTTCGACATGTTAGGACACGTTTTGATATTAAATAATTTTTTTAATTTATAAAGTGTATATTATATTTAATATTCAATAATAAAATAAAAAAATGAAACTAAACTTGTAATATTCATCAATTTTGCAAAGAAACATAAGATATCCCAAATATTTATAGTAAACTCAATAAAACGATAATCGTACTCCAACGAATTTAATAGTTGGAATGAAAAATTCAACGAATGCAACTTTTGAATCTTTTTTTGAATTTTTATAACTCGTGTTGGAGTGTCGGGGAGTGTCGGAGTGTCAAAAATTGTCGGACACGACACAGTCAGGATTTTTGAAGTGTCGGTGCTTCGTAGTTTCAAAGTGATAACTTTTAAGCTTGGGGAAGAGCAAGAAAGTAGCATGCTTCTTGCGTTTATATTGGTAACCTACAAAAATAACGTGTGTTTTTTAATGTCCATGGAAATTGAGAAATGAATAGCAACAAACCTTGGCCAATGAATTGATGGCCATGAAAATAACACCTGCTTTGATTAGAAATTTTCAGAATTCAGACTTTGATGGAAATCAATAATCAATATGCAATGTTGTACAAGATTTCCAGTCATAAAGGAACAATTTTACCACTGCTTCGGTTCGTCCCATTTTTTCTTTGCTATTAGGTTAAAAAAAAAACCTATTTTCTTTTTTTCCAATTGGTCCATAGGTGACTTATAAGTTATAACTACATTCATATCATAACCCCTGACACAAGAGCATCAATCACCAACAATCCATACAGGAACAGGTTCCATCTTTAAAGTGATGGAATCGAATACGATCTCTTACAATTATCTCCACATTGTAAATTCTGGAGATTAATTTAGTTACCTTGTGACAATCATTACACACTCCAAGATTCTTAAACACTCTTATTGGCATGCCTGGTCTTCTGTTTAAGAGCCCAAAAGCTATGGCCAGTCTCTCACTGTGCAACCTCAGTATTTTGTTTTCCATCATTAACCTCATCAACCAAAGGTGCCCCTGAGTAATCAGGTATATACCCTATTGATTGTAGCTTCTCCTCAATTTCACTCACAAACTTGTATATATCTATACTTTGTGGATGAGTGCTGTCCCCAGCAAAAAATTCATGAGCCACTCCATCTATCTCTATTAAACTACAGCCAGGCTCTTTAGTCACACCCTTATCAGTCATTAGTTTTCTAAGCAATCCTACATCATTCCACCTGCTAGCTGAAGCATAGACTTTTGACAAAAGCACATAAACACCACTACTATTAACACTCCCCTCTGATTCAAAAACTTGTTTTGCCATTTCTTCACTTAGCTCAACACTTGCATGTTGCTTGCAACATGCATCCAGAATACTCCTCCAGATTACAGAATCTGGTTTTATTGGCATTTCAGAAACCAAGTTTATAGCCTCTTCTATGCGCCCAGCTCGAGCATAAAGATCAACTAGACATCCATAATGCTCTAATTGTGGTTCAAAATTATACTCCTTAGTCATCATGTCAAAATAGCTAATACCCTCGTTAACCATGCCCCTTCTATTAAATGCACTCAAGACGCCAATAAAAGTGATAGAATTGGGCACCAATTTCTCTATCTTCACCATTCGGACAAAATGGTCAAATGCTGCTTCAGCCTTGCCATGCATGGCAAAACCCAAGATTATTGAATTCCATGAATTTACATCTCTATAAGGCATGCTTTCAAAGACTTGTTGAGCAAATTCTAAGGTTCCACATTTGCAATACATATCCACCAAGCAAGTGTTGACAAAAACATCACCAGCCATATTATTGTCACACTTTTTCAAAATATAAGCATGAGCCCACAAACCCAAAGACAAAGCCCCCAAACCAGCACAAGCATTAATAACACTCTGCATTGTATAACCATCAGAGTCATGTACCTTCTGCATTTCACCAAAAACTTTCAATGCAGTGTCAAACTCTCCATCCCTTGCATAAGAATCAATCATGATATTCCACGAAACCTTACTTCTTTCAGGCATGTTCCTAAATATTTTCTCTGCCAAGTCTAGGTACCCGCAGGTGGCATAAAAATGAATCAAACTGTTACAAATATGAGTATCTGAGTCAAACCCAAGTTTCAAAAGTTGAGCATGAACCTGTTTTCCTTCACAAAGAGAAAACATGTAAGCACACGCCTTGAGAACAAATGGGAATGTGTGGTTATCAGGAACCACACTTTCTTCTTCAACCACCATCATTGCTTTGTAAAGCTCCATGGCCTTGTCTTTGCGGTTGTTGCTTCGTGCGTAGGATCTTATGAGAGTGTTCCACATGAAGGAATTGGGCTTCCCAAAGTGATGAAACACCCGAGTAGCATAGTTAAGATCAACCAAAGAGGAGTAAAGAAGAATTTTGCCATAGAGAAAGAGAGCTTGTGGATGGTTGGTCTCAATGGTGCGTATCATTTGAGCGTGAATTTGCTTGAGTTGAGGCATAGCAATAGGTTCGTTCAACAAGTGGATAAGGTTTGTGTGGCTGTTATGGCTAAAGGGTTGGGCATGGTTGTTGTTGTTGTTGTTGTTGTTGGCGGTGGTGGCTGTGGAGAAAAGCAGAGGAGGGGTTGTAGTTGTAGCCATGGTTAAAGCCATTATATGTATGAGGAATTTCTTTAGGAATTCATATTAATCGTCATCTTCACATTCTATGTTACTCCGCTCTCATTTGAGTGAGGAGAGGTTATAGCAGACCTTGTTCGAGGTGTCCTAGATGAGGATAAGGTGGAATGTTTTAAGGTCATGAATGTGTCTTTTCACTTGCAAGCAATTCCCCTTTCTCTTTTAAAAATATCACATCTTCTATAATTGTAAGGGGTAGTAGTAGTAGTAGTAGTTCGCATCCATCATTCTCAAATAAAAGTACAATTGAATCAATGTGCCTAAAGTATCTTGGTGTTGAACGCTTTATGTTTAGTTTGGTTATAAAATCGAACCATTTAGTGTGTCAATTTAAAAACTTATTCTTTTTAAGTGATTTTGACATAATAAATGTTGTCAAAGTTCATTTTATATATATAATTAGCAAAAGGAAAAGATTTTCTTCTTGCCTTTTCATGTTATCCTTTTATTTTTATTTTTTAAATTGTACTTTGTTAAAGAACTAATATTGTTATATTATTGAATTTTTCATTTTTGATATTATTGCCATGTGAGAGGTTATAGTTACTACATCTTTTTCTTACTATCAAATCTTAATCTAACAGTTGTAATTTATTGAGATGTTAGATTGACAGAAATCAACGGTTAAGATTTGATAGTAAGAGATAATAAGAAAAAGAGGTAGTAAGTATAACCTTCTCCTATTGTCATATTAAAAAGATATAAAAGAGAAATTAATTTTAATTATTAAGCAATATTTAATCTCAAGAAACATAAAAGTTCATATTATCAAGGACTGCGCAGAATTTCTATAGAAAGATGAGTAAAACTACTGTTTTTATGGGAAATTCAACTAGTCCTGATTGAAGGCTAATAATTTTCTAATCACTTCAAAGACCAATAAACAATAAACAATCATTTGTTATTAATTAGCCCACATATTTAGTCTCTTATACCTCCAATCAGTATATGTTACCTACTCCAAGAGTAAGTATTCCTTTATTAAAAATAGAAAAAAAAAATTGAGACTTAAAATCTAATAATAATCATAAAAGGACGGGTAATTGAGTAAAATAATTGTTTACTTTTTTTTTTCAATTTTATTTAAAGATGTTCTCAATCTTCAATACTACAAGAGTATATAAAATATTTTCACCTCATATGTTCTTAATTGATTACTTTGGCCTTGATTTCAATTTTTAATATAATTGGATTATTAATAGTGTATTATATTTCGGGCGTAACTTAGTACAATATGAATGAAGTTTGAAATTAGAGGGGAGGGACAGACGATTAATTCTCTAATATGGGTATTCTTGAATTTTGAATTTGAGAGGCAATTAATTTAGAGAGAAGATCAGAAAGCACGAAATATAAGACTTTTATTCTACACATTCTTCTTAGCTTCTCTTACATCATTCTCCATTTTCTTTATCCTTCCCTAAGCTTATGTGTGGTGATAGTCATGGAAGAATAGAACTTTGTAATTAATCTAAGGAGTCTTTGAATTGAATTTCTCTTCTTTGTTGGACTCTTGATCTAAAATTGCATGAGTAGTGATTTTTGCTTGGATTGATATAATTATGAGTTTGATATTGAGGATATATAGATAATAGGTTTTGCATTAAAGATCTTTGATCAAATTCCTTGACCAAATTCTTACTTGTAAGCTAACATAGATATAAACATGAATCATATAATAACCCTAACCTAGGTAATATGGATTTAAGAATTGATTAACTATTTAATCGTGAAATTAAGGGTCTAATTAGGTTAAAAATCTAATCATGTAAAAATAATACAATTTTGGAAAAAGTGCAAAAAGTGAATGTTTTGGGTTATAATTGCTAGTAGTCAAAAGTTACCGGAACTTAAAAATAATTGAATGGAATATAATAAAATAATTTTAGTGAAAATCTAAGATCAAGTTAGATGAGTAAAATGGATGAGAGGACGCGATGGGTGTATCGCTTAAAGTTGATTTGACTTTAAGTATGTTAAAATGTAAGTTAGAAGACAAAAATCATTTTCACTTCTTCCTCCATCGTGTGTGAGAGTCTGATAGCCATTGGAGAAGAGCTTGGTTTCCTAACTCTTTGTGCAGTCATCCAATCAGCAAAGTTTCAACTAGAGAATTACTTAGAATCACAACACAAACCTAACCCCTAATTCAAATATCCTTGAAAGTGAATGTATGGAGAGAAAACTCATTGGGAAAGTGGCAGTTTTCTTGAGTTTGTGAGCAAAGGAGAGTGGTTTGATCTCACCCAAAGGTTGGAATCTACTCCTTGTGTCTTTGTGGAGCCATTTGAGGTAAGGAAATCTCATTTCCATAAAGTTTTGATAATTGTTCATTTTAGGTTAATATAAGGATATATTTTGATGGATGATAAGGTTGGAGGGTTAATTAGCCTTAGTTCACGTAGGAATATATGCTAAGGAACCTAAATAATCGTTAGAAATGTAATCAAACCATCATTTAGGCAATGTTGGAGATTTTCGAAAATCTCATGTGCATATAGCTTATTTCTTGTAATGCAAGTAATGGGTTGTTGTGGTTGATTTGGTTTATTATTCCTTTGAATCCTAGGAGTGGATTAGGTGAACAAGTGGTTGTAGATCAAGCCTTGGAGGTGCCAAGGAAACTTGGTTGAAACGTGGGTGGAAACAAGTGTTGGTAAGTTTTCTATCTTTGTGATATGAATATATTCATATAATGGGATTAATATTCTAGTATGGAATGTTTGTTGATCACACTTGTGCCTTTCATAGGTAAATCTAGTATAATCTAATGGTGTTGATCTTTTGACTAGTTGTGAATACCATTGGTGCAAAGGAAATCTTTGGACGGAAAGCTATTGCAGGTAAGCTTTTGGACCTTGGGATTTATCTCGTACTTGTTCCACATGCCCTGGAGGGGTAGTGGTTTATGTGGTATATGTAATTGCATAGATTTGATATGTTGCATTGGATATATGTATGTGTATGCTATGTTTTTGCACTTGGTATGTATCAAGGAGATTTCCTTGTGTAATTCATAGTGTAGGTTCTCTAGCCAGTATGATTTATTGTTATTGCGACGACATGAGCATTCTGGAGGAATGTTTGGATGAGCATTATTTTCATAGTATGGATATGTATATTGGTATCATATTATTTATTTCTTTTACGTTGAAGTGAACTTGGAGGGTGGAGGAATCTCCAAACACCCCTGGTTTACTGAGATATATATGTATATCTCACCCGTGTTGTGGGAACCTCCTTTCAGGCATAGACGATGCAGGAGCACCCGTTGGCAGGAGGCCATAGTAGACTACATTTGTATCTTATGGACTTGCATATGACATGTTATTTTGGATGAGTGTAGAATCATATGTTTATGTAGTCTTATTTTGAGAATATATACTATTGATGCATAGAGGAGGGAGTTAGCCTATGATCAAAGTTATTGGATATCTTTCATGTTGTTGATGCATGTAAAAGACTTTGATCACATGTTTTGTATTGTTAAGTTCTCATTTATGTAAGTTGTGGACATTTATGTATTTTGATACAATTATGATGAAAGGACTTGTACGCTTATTGGATAGACTGAGATGATGTCAGTATTTATTGAACTATTTATCAAGTTGAGATATCCTGTGGGAGTTATCCCTAGATGTCCAAAAAACAAACGAAGCTCTGTCCATTTTGTTTAGGCGATGTTGGTAGGAGATTATCATCTTGTATGATTAACTATCTTCATTGTCATGTGAAGTCATGTTGTTTATGAGAACTTTATGGTGGTATAATATGTTTAAGCGAGATTAGATGTTTCTGAGTTATAATTACAGTTTGAATTGTTTATAAATACGGAAAATGTTTTAAGTAGTAAAAGATAATTGTTTAAAAAGAAAAAAATCTATCTGTTTTAATCAACTATCGTGATTGTAATTGCGCTTAATATCATATGTAATGATAACAAATTGGTTCTAGAACTGGGTGTTACAAATCATGCGTTTGCAGATTTGTGTGTCACTTTTTAGTTGATTTGTAGGTTATTTTTTAGTAGAGAATTCATGATTCATAGCAAAGATTTCAAATGGATGAAGGTTGATCATTCAATTGAAGTTTCATGCAAGCTTTATCGTCTATATAACAAATTTGTTGCAAGTTCAGATAGCTTTCTTAGATTGGTTGTCTTGATTATTGAATTTTATCAACTTTGATTCTATAATTAGTATTTGGAAATCATAAAACTCCCCCTCAATGTTGGGTTGAGTTTGTGCTAGTACCAGTTCACATCCTGTCCTGCATGAATTTTAGCATAGTCACATTCTGTTTTGCATTTTTCTTTGTATGTTCAGGCATCATATCAGTCTTCTACTTAGTAATTAAGTTATAATAGGATCAACCTAGAGTGAATTTTCAATGCCCGACCTATGTTTTCACCTTAAGTTGCAAAATCCTAGTATCGTTTTTCTGCAGCCTCTGCAGTTGTCATGCAGCAAAGACATTAGAAGCACAACTTAGTAATTTTGGTTGTACATATCATCATATGACCTCTAATGAGAACATGTTCAAAGAGCTAGATTGAACATGCATTTCAAAGGTCAGGATTAGAAAGAGAGATTGCATTGAAGTTAAAGGAAAAGAGATGTGTTAGTCAAAACTCCTTTAGGTATCAAATTAATTTTAAATGTATTATTTGTACTTGTATTGACCAAAATATTCCAAGTGTTGGCCAGTTGCTAAAAAAGAAATATGCAGTGACTTTAAAAGATGAATCTTGCATAATACATGATCCTGCTAGTAGTAAGTTGTTCACAAGGAAAAAAGGAGGATACATGATTTACATTGGATTAAGAGAAAAATTGTTGTTCTGTATATTCTAGCTTAGCTACTCATTTTTTGAATTAAGGCATAAGATATTAGGATATTTTCATTACTCGGCATTGCTTTATTTGCTAAATGATGAACTTGTTCTAAATATGCCTTCTATCTAAGCAACTCTTGTTGACGTGAAGTTTGTCAACTAAAAAAGCAATCTAGAGTTTGTAACCAACAAAGCATGGAGAACTGGTGAAAAATTCCAGCTTCTGCACACTGATATTTGAGACCCAATAGAAACTTAGTTACTAAATGGAAATAACAATTGTATTGCTTTCAATGATGATTTTAGCATAATGTGCCGGGTTTAGATGAAAAGCCAGAAGTGGGAATTTCGATTGGCTACAACAATACCATAAAAGGATACGAAATTATCAACCTTCAATAGAATTGTAGTTGCGAGCAGAGATATGATATTCAATAAGATGCATCACAAAATTTGGAGAAATTTGAAGTAGCAGCAAATATTAAAACATCTAAGCAAAAAATTTCTTGATAATGAACTTGGAATGTTTGGCAAAGAACCAGTAGATCATGTTTGGAAAATCAACAACATCAACATCAACAATACCTTTATCCCAAATTAATTGGGGTCGGTGGTAAATGAACCCAAATAAAAGATACGAAAGGGTTGAAAAAAGATAAAAATGAATAAAAATGAATACATAAAATAGTAATATATATATATATATATATAAGTAATAAAAAAAGGGAAAAAGAAGAAGAGGGGGAGACGAAGAGGAAAAGAACTAAAAAAGGACCATTTGGAACATAGGAATAACAACGGGTCTAACCCTCCATCATGCTTATAACTTTTCTCTATTCCGTTCTAAGGCACACCGTCTACTAATCTATATCTCACTCCATTAAGTCTTGTTTTACTACCTTCCCTCAAGCAAGTTCATGTCTACCTCTACCTTTCTTTGTATTGAGCTCTTGGTAACAAACTTTTGCTCTTTCGGGAGAATTCAAGGACTTTCTTATTTACGTGCCCAAACCACCCCAATCTATGTTCTCTCATCTTTTCAGCCACCGGTAGTACTCCTACCTTTCATCGAATATCTTCATTTCTTATCTTATCCATCCTCGTATAACCACACATCCACCTTAACATCCTCATCTCTGCACTCCCATTTTATGCTCATGTTGCCTATATGCTGGCGAACATTCAGCTCCATATAGCATTGCAGGCCTTACTGTTGTTCTATAGAATTTTCCTTTTAACTTAAGGGGGATTTTGCGATCACACAAAAAACCAGATGCACTGCGTCATTTCATCCACCCTGTTCTGATTCTATGAGTTACATCCTCATCAATCTCTCCACCTTTTTGCAAAATAGAACCCAGGTATTAAAAGCATCTTTCTTGTGTACCTCTTAACCAAGTAGATGCACGAGATCTTGTTCAACATCTCTTCCCAGATAAAACTCACACTTCAAATACTTAGTCTTGCTCCGACTTAACATGAATCCTTTAGATTTCAATGTTCTTCTCCACAATTCATGTTTTCTATTAACACTATCTTTGTTCTTATTAATAAGCACAATATCATTTGCCAAAGCAAACATCGTGGCACTTTCTCTTGAAAATCTTTTGTTAGTTCATCTATAACTAAGGTAAAGAGATAAGGACTTAGAGTCGAACTTTGGTGTTCCATTACAACCTTTCACACATATAGTAGCCCCGTCATACATATCCTTGATTGCCTTTACATACTTTGATTGGTACCTTTTTCTCTCTCTCAAGAACCCACTATAAAACTTTTCTTGGAACTCTATCATATGCTTTCTCAAGATTTATGAACACCATATGTAAGTCCTTCTTCTTTTCTCGATATCTTTCCATTAACTGTCGCATCAAGAAATGGCTTCCATGGTACATCTTCCTGGCATAAATCCAAATTGATTTACAGAAATCTTGGTATCTCTCCTCAAGTGATGTTCAATAACTCTTTCCCACAACTTCATAGTATAGCTCATTAGCTTAATGTCTCTATAGTTAGAACAATTCTTAATATCTCCCTTGTTTTTATAAATAGGCATAAGCATACTTTTCCTCCATGCATCAGACATCTTATTTGTCTGAAGAATCTTATTGAAAAGATTGGTCAACCATTTTATTGCCACATCCCCCATGCCTCTCCACACTTCAATAGGGACACCATCAGGTCCCAAGGTTTTATTAGTCTTCATCCTCTTTAAAGCCTCCTTAACTTTATATGTATTAATTATACGCACAAATCTTCTATTCAAATCATCATAAGCGTCGTCCAAGTCCATCTCGTTTTATCGTTATCCCCGTTAAATAGCTTGTTGAAGTAGTTCATCCATCTTTCATTTACATCTTTATCTCTCATCAAAAGTTTTTGATTTTTATTCTTGATGCATCTAACTTGGGTGAGGTCTTTACTTTTCTTATCCCTTATTTTTGCAAGTTTGTATATACCTTTTTCACCATCCTTGCTCCCAAGATTTTTATATTAATCAGTGAAAATATTGCCCCTAGCTTCTCGCACTGCTTCCTTTGCATTTATTCTCGCCATTCTAAAATTTTGCAAGTTCTCTTCATTGGGACTTTTATGCAAAGATATAAAGTATTTCTTCTTCTGCTTAATTGCCTCTTGCACCTCTCCATTCCACCACCATGATTTCTTTGTATGAAATCTATTTCCTTTGCTTTCTCCCAACACCCTCTTTCCCATATACTGAATACACATAGCCATCTCATTTCATATTGCATTTGCTCCTTCATCAAACTCCCAAGGTTCTTCATGTAATATTCTTTCATTGAACTCTCTTTCTTTTTCCTCCTTAAGCTTCCATCATCTTATCCTTGGGTTTTGGGCCCTCTTCTTCATTGTAAGTACTTTGTTGAACCGAACCTTCAGGACAATCAGCTTATGTTGCGTAGCGACACACTCTCCAGGATAGACCTTACAGTCGACACAAGAAGTTCTATCTTCTCTTTTAGCCATAAAAAAATCAATCTGACTAAGATTTTGGCCACTATGATATGTGATTAGATGTGATTCCCTTTTTCGAAAAAATGTGTTCGTTAGCATCAAATCATAGACTAGTGCAACATTCAAGATATCTTCTCCAGTCTCGTTTCTTGTCCCATAGCCAAAACCTCCATGAATTCTATCAAAACTTCCATTCCTTATACCAACATGATCATTTAGATCTCCTCCTAAGAAATTCTTCTCCTCTCGTGGTATCCCCCTCAAAACCTCCTCCAAGTCTTCCCAAAATTGGCTCTTATCATTTGGTTGCAATCCAACTTGGGGTGCATACACACTGAGGATATTCAAGATTAAATCACTCTCTACAAGCTTAACCATAATAATCCTGTCGCCTTTCCTTTGGAAAATCCATTTTGTAAAATTAATGTCTTATAGAAACTTTCATAATATTTCTAAAAATAAAATATGCAAGCCATTGACATTTGACAAAGAAATATCTACCAATACATGACATGGAGTGCAATACACATCAGGAGTACAAATTTAGTTTTAATCGAAATAACTATAAAATCACACCCCATTAAATATTGACTAGCAAGGATGAGGTGTGGACGATCCTAATTAACGATATTATAATCTCATTATGTCAGAGAACATATTGTAGAAATCATCGTTGGAATTTGAATCATCGGCTTGTGAGTACATGTTTGGTGGTATGCGAAGCAAACGATGATGTCTTTCCATTTGAAGTTTTCTGATGTGTTGGACCGTTGCTTCATAATTTTTCCAATGAGTTGCATGAGGTGTACCTTGAAAATACTGTATTTGATGCTTCGCAAGTTTTTCATACTTCGCAATTTGTTGATCTAGATCTCCAACATATCCACGATTTAATTTTTGCAACACATCCATAGCAATCTCCTCAACCATTTCAGATTCCAACCTATCATATAGTTAGATACATCAGCAACATAAAAAGAAGGTAAATGACAATAAATTACCAAATTATAAGTTGCTGCATATTATCCATATTCATCGAATACGTACACAAAACTCTAAATTAAAAAGACCATTCCAACATCAAATCATTGCTCATAATTACTTTTAATTAGTTTCAAACTCGCAGTTGTTTGATATACCAAGTTTAAAATTCAAATTTTGAAATTTATTGAAATATTCAATATGTATGTGTATTTGGCTTCAAAATGAAATTTGATTTATAACAGCAAGTATCTTATCATAATTTTTTATTTTCTTGATAAAAAAATAACTTTAGATATTCAACATTTTCAGTAATTTTGTTTTGAAAATATTTATTTAGTATGATATCTAAAAATGCATAACCCAGGGAGTGGCACAATTCATAGGCGAGTTGTGTTTAAGGAAGTCGAAAGGTCTTTGTTTTGAATAAGAGACAAAACAACTTGGAGTTGATGACAAAAATCTTTGCCCGTCGTGAAAGTGATTAGTCTCATCCAAATGATCTACATAATATAAGTTTGATTTTATAATTCAGGGTGTGTTTGGTATGGGTTTTTTGATTGAAATGATGGGTAAATAGCTTTGGTAATAACTTTTTACCATGTTTGTACGAAGATATGTAAGAAATTTCTAGGTAAAAAACATCCCCAGCATTTGAGTTTTTCACTAAGGACTGGAAAAAAAATGCTTCTTTACATATGGTATTTATTTTTTCCGTTGATTTCAGATTATGAGTGAAATTTTTTTGTATTAAAACACCCTAAAAAGCATTTTGCAGATAAAAAGGACATCCTTTCATAATAATAGACGTATAGAGATGGGTAATAGACGTACAAAATTTCCATCAAAATGAACGTTTCATAGTAGACGTATAAAATTCACAAAAGGAGGGGTAATTTGGTAAATTCAATTAACATTCTCATCAATATTTTATCGTCAACCAAACATAACATCAGTAAAATTAACCCTACTTTTCTGATAATATTTTGACCTACCAAATATTTTTTTAATACTTTTCCGTGTAAAATATTTTCCTACCATATTCTTAGAAATATTGTTTTCCCAATAGAAAAAATATTTCTTATACCAAACGCCTCCTAAAGAATATATATGATACATTGAAAAGCAATCATCGTCAAATCTTAAAAATTAAACATTAATAACCTTATATTAGCCTCAAATGTTAGAGGAATGGTTTGAAAAATCCATGCAATATATATAGTTAGGTACCTGTCGACAGAGCAATCCCAGCCAGAGAGATTGGCTGCTTCTCTCAGAGCATCCCTCCATTTTTGAACCTTGTTTAGTCTACCCTGAAAATTTTGTTCATGTCTTGCGAATGCACTTTCAAAGCTTCCTGTTTGGTTTCGTACATGGGTTGGTTCTGTATCATAAAACACAGGCACTACAATTTGCCCTCTTGTTTTTTTACACTCAATTATTTTCTTCACTTCTTCCAAACACCATTTTGATGTTCCAAAGTTTTTGGAGAACACAATCACAGAGAGCTTTGCATCCTCTATGGCCCTAAGAAGTGTCCCTGATATTTCATCCCCTCTCTCAAGATTGTAGTCTATGTAGGTTTTGATCTCTGCCCTTTTAAAAGCAGCATAAAGATGGCTCGTGAATGTCTTTCGTGTATCTTCCCCTCTGAAACTAAGGAACACTTCGTGCTTTTCTTGAGGATTACTTGATGATGATGATGATGCCATCTTATATGATATTACAAAATGTTGTGTGCTCTGCTAGGTTAATTAATGGGAGGATGCTTGAATTTCTAGGTTAACTAATGGCCTTATTAAAAGAAAGCATTTGGTTTGGTTATTTCCTATGTACCTTCCCGGGATTGAATTAAGTACAATTGATAAAAGTTTTATAGATAAGACAAATAGAAGGAAGCAGTTTAGTGTTATTTTATAAGTTCATCTTCACATCATAGAAGGCGCCATTGTTGTTCGTGTTAAAAAATCTCATTTACAATGACTATTTTAATAAAACTTTCTAAGACCTGAATTTACTGTAACATTGACATATATGGGTTGTACCCAAAAGAACAAACATATATGGTTGGTGTAGTCAATAATAATATCAATTACCTATTTATCTTGCTGACTTTAAGAAAGGGATGTGCCATTAAAACCTCAGAAGAAAAACAAAATTTGCTTCTCGTTCAAAGCTTTCACACTGGATATATGGAATCAACCCTTGTATAATCATGATATTCCACGAAACTGATCAGCAACATGTCACCTAAAAGCTTAAATTCATAAATAATATATACATTAATGATTTTTTTTTATATTAATGTTTTTAACATTCCTTACTTGAATAATGCACATGTCTATTTTTTTTAGGGATCTGCGTTTAAGCTGATCCAAATTCACCCTTCTGTTTTTTCATCTAGCTTGTCTTTTCTACATTTGGCACATGAATAAAACAAAATGCAGCCAAAGTTTTTGAGATCCTGAAAAGGGAATAGTTTTAGGAAAATATTATCTCTTCTTGTAGAGACAATAATATATGGGTTTCACTATGAATTTTTTTTCACCCTATTTTGAAAAGGGAATAGTTTTCTCCGATTGTTGGAGAAAATCATGGATTTTGAGTCACTTGCAGGAGAAAACTATTCCTCAATCTAAAACGATGGCTTGAAAATAAGCCACATTTTAAACAAAAGATATCCATTTCATCTCCGTTATTATTCTATTCTATTCTATTCACTTAAACCATTTTGTTGTGTGGTGTAAGTTGCTGCTAGCTGGTCGTCAATACCAGAATTAAATTTGTCAGAGAAATACTCAGTCCCCTTCTTAAATCTTATCACCTTTATCTTTTTCTCACTTTTATTTTTTATCTAGATTTTGTGTTTCCAAACTACCATAGTTCAGACTTGTTTATGAAAATAAACATATATAGTACATTATCCTAAAATCATTATTTCCATTTAGTAACAAAGTTATAATCGGGTCTCAAAAATCAGTGTGCAGAAGCTAGAATTTTTCAACGGCTCTCCAAGCTTTGATGACTAGAAATGATGCTCTAGATTACTTTCCTTGATGACATAATTCATCTGCATCGAGAGTTACTTAGATAGTAGGCATATATAGAACAAGTTCATTATTTTGCATATCATGCAATGCTTCGTAATGAAAATGTACGTGCTAATCTCTTAATGCTTAATTAAAATATTAGCTAAGCTAGGATATGCAGAAGAACAAAGTTTTCTCTTAATAATCCAACGTAAAGCAATACTTCATTTTCACTGCAAATAACTTACTGAAGATACGTTTCACTAATGGAATTACAAAAAAGAACAAAGGCAATAGTGTGGATTGAGGTTGCTTGATGAGTCTTGAAGACACAAAGGCTTTCATAAAACTCACCCTTGTCCATTCATCTTCAAAGACCTGTTATCTTGAATGACAGGAGACTCATCAGAAAACCGAACAAAAGTTAAATATATGATTCATTTTAATTCATGTCATTGTTATGTTATTAATTAATTATATCATGTCTCATGTTTGACAAGTAATTGAAAATTAAAAAAAAGCCTGTTTAAATCATACAACAACAATAATAATACTAAGAATACGAATAATCTTACATTTGCAATAAAATAAAGTTAAGCTCATTTAACTTGTTGTAGGAAAATATTATCTCTCGGTCTTCGGAGTAGTTTAATAATGATTTAAAACAGAAAAAAAAGTATTTAAAATTAATTTTCCTAACAAAAAAGTTATACTTTCTATCTAAGATTTTTAAATATATATTAAATACATGTTATTCTTTGATTGTTGTTTTTTTCTTCTTCTTTTTTTATTTGACTTTGTTTTTTGTTAAAATAAAATAAAATTGAGGTCATGTTCGATTGTGCTTTTATTTTATTTGTTTTCAAAAATATTTTGTAGACTAGTTTATAAAAACCAATTTTTAAAATAAAAGAAGAAAAAAATCTTTTTGAAATCTTTTTTTTTTTAAAAATATTTTGAAAGTTAAAGAAAAAAATCTGTTTGACAATTTTATTTTGAAAACATATTTTCAAAGAAAAAAAAAGGAAACTCATTTGATTTGTAAAAAAAAATTTCTAACTTTAATTTATGATTTTTCTAATCATATGCTTTTTATATTGTTAGTGGAGGATCTTGGCCCTGAATGAGCATTTTGGATGGACGGACAATAATGTTTTGGGAGTGATAGTTGTCAGAGAATAATATAAATCATCTAAAAGGCCCCTTCCAACACCTTAAGATTTTTGGTTGAAATGGTTCAAGAATAAAAAAATTCAGTTTAGTAGAGACACTTATCAATTTTATTTTTTTGTTAAAAGTTGTTGAGAGTTTTAGTTTATCTGAAGTTTTCATTTTGTTATAATTGGCACATGCGAGACGAAGTTCTTGGTGGGAGTCAAGATCAAGTTTTCTTCAAGTGTCGATTGTAACTTTGCTTATATTTCTAGTTTTTAGTTTTGCAATTCAAGAACCTGGTATGTATCTTTACTTTCCCTCTACTGTTTTCTGCATTTTGATATTGGTAAGAAACGAACATGTCATTTCTCTTCAAGATTTTCTTTGTTAATTTTCGGGTAACAAGAGCTTCTAAATTTCTTTCTGGTATATTGAATGTAGTGATGAGTACCTTTTAATCACATTACTTGTTGTGCATGTTTCTTGACTTTTAATTAGCATCGTCTTCTTGTTAAGAGCCATGGGAATGGTCTTGAACATTTATTTGCATGAATCTTCAATTGGGAAATTAAAGGTTTGTGATTTTGTTAGTTGAACAATCCAAGATTAGGGATAATCTGGAGTAGAAATTTGGGATACGTCATAAATGAATTAGATTCAAGATTAATGGACTAATTTGAGTCGTTCGTTACTGGGTTTGGAAAAATTCAACTAGGTGCTACAACACTCAATTTTGATCAAGTTTGGTGCTACAACATGTAAAATGCAGGGATGCAAAATTTAAGGGAAAATCATGAAATTTGATATTCCAGATAATTACATCTTAATTGTTTGTAAGTGAGTAGAGTCATTTGTTTGGTAAAAACTTGATTTGCAATTCAATTGCTGAATTTTGTTATTTGAAAGTTAATTACTTGCAATTCAAGAAACTAGGACAAGTTAGATAAAGAAAATTGAAACTAGTGTTCTTGGTGGGATGATCCTCATCTTTGAATGCATATACTACCATTATGATTGTTAGCACAAGAACATAGCAATTTTAATTTTCTGTTTTGAGAAAATAAACAACTAACAACACCCCCTCACACAAAAGCCAACTGAAATTGAAGAGTGGATAGTGAATAGGCTTACTACCTGTTCTAATAAAGTCCACAAGACGTAATTAATTATTAATTAAATGGAGGGAGTGAAGATTGAACTTGGGACATCAAGGCTCAAATATCATGTAAAACACCAATTCAACCTAAAAGCTTAAGTTGTTAGATTAGGTTACATTAATAATTTTATATTTCTCTAATACTAACCTATATTAAGACACTTACCAAATTACCATTGAATCGAAACATTAAATAAAAGTGAAGACACTTAATTAGAATGTGATACCAGTGTTCTAAAAATTGACCCGACCCAATTAATTCGATTGGTTAACCCGTAAATCAGACCCCGAATCATTCCGATTCAGGTGTTTGTAAGACCCCATTTCTGAAAAGGAAGAAGGAAAGAGTATCAAAAACCTACTCCACCTCCTAAAAGTTCCTCCCTTTTTTGAGAAAGCTGATTTTGGGAGTACTTGTTGCTGAAAAAGAAAAAAGGGTCGTATCAAGAAAGCAAATATCAACACCGATTTGAAGAGATTTTGAAAGCTTAAGCCCTTCAACCAAGTAAGTTATCAAAACTACCTTCTTTCCTCTGTTCTAAATTCTAGTCGGTGCTTTAAGATTAATGCATATGAGATTATTTATGATTTGAGACCTTGTATGTGTATTATGCATGCTTTGCATACTAATTAACATAAAAATGGTAATGCACGTATGTTTCCTTTGCTTAGACATGGTAATCTGTTGGGTAGGGTTGAATAGATGTGAAGGTTGGGTTATAGCATGGTGCAAAACTGGAATTCGCCATCTACTGTAGCTGACTAAGCTTGCTCGCTTCAATGAGTAGCCCGAAAGGAATGCTCTCTGCCATTTTTTGCTGGGCTTCCTCGCACTAGTGAGCGGTCCAGCGAGCATCCCCTATGGATTGCTTCTCCTCGGGTTTTCCTCACTGATGAAGCCCACTTTAGCGAGGAGCTCAGCAAAGGTACTTGTTTCACGGGATCAACATATAGAGATTAATTATGAATGCAAGTAAATATGTAGTCATCATCTGTTTTGTTTCATTACCTATTAGTAGTTTTATAATTTACTGGAATTTGCATCTCACTTCTGTTGGGGATTTCATTTCAGAAAATTCTAGCAAGGGTAGCAGTTCGGCTTTTTGACCCTTATAACCTTTAATTAATAATTAATTATCAATTTGACCTTCATTTGAAACTAATTCGAAAATTTAACCCCTTCAGAAAACATAACACCAATCTGCCCCTGTTTGACTGTTGACCATAAAGCCTACCCGGGTACACCCCTCCTACCCTGATATTTTTTGAAATTTTTTATCTACCCGGGTAGAGAGGGGTGTACCCGGGTAGAGTTCTTGAATCTGAAAAAATGGTTGAATTAGTTATCCGGGTAAGAAGGGTTGTACCCGGGTAAACATCCAGAGTAGCGTTTTTATATAACCGAGATGCTAAAAAGTTTCTTTTTCCAATTCATATTCTCCTCGGATTTATATTTCTATCAGGTTAATGAAAACGCAAAAAATTGAAGCACCTTCTGATTACAGAAAACAAAATGAAATTAGTAAAAAATTAATACAACATTACCATGTAATTGTATCCCCTAGTTTCTCTAATCTTCCTCAACTCTTCATCGTTCTCATAATTATTTGGATTCAGCTTCCAGTATAAGAGTCCCAATTCTGCAAAACTCACCATTTTTCTGCAACGTCACAACTAAGTAAAACTATAGATAGAGAGAGAGAGAGAGTAATGACCTGCTAATTGGTTGATGGAAACAAATTCATTAGGGCTGCCATGGTAAGGAAGCCTTGGATCTTCGTTGCTATCGTCCATGAACCATGTCTGTCACAGTTTTTTTCATTTATATAAAAACCCTACTCTGGATGTTTACCCGGGTACAACCCTTCTTAACCGGGTAACTAATTCAACCATTTTTCCAGATTCAAGAACTCTACTCGGGTACACCCCTCTCTACCCGGGTAGATAAAAAATTTCAAAAAATACCAGGGTAGGGAGGGGTGTACCCGGGTAGGCTTCATGGTCAACGGTCAAACATGGGCAGATTGATGTTATGTTTTCTGAAGGGGTTAAATTTTCGAATTAGTTTCAAATGAAGGTCAAATTGATAATTAATTATTAATTAAAAGTTATAAGGGTAAAAAAGCCGTAGCAGTTCAGATAAAGACGAGACTATGTTTATTCAGTGGATGATGTATTTTGTTTGTCCCATAATGAATGTGGAACGTTCTTATATTTTGTAGTTGTGAATTGTAGTTCCAATGAATATATATATATATATATATATATATATATATATATATATATATATATATATATATATATTCAGTTTAGCTGTGTGTTTCTTTTATTTTACCTATTATGCTTTTGACCCGGTATGTAACCGTTGAACCGATCCTCGACAAGGTTCAAACTGGTAATAAATAGGCATCAATTTTTAAAAAAAATTATTTTTGTAAAATTTTAGACAAAATGAATGAAAAATACCACTAATAAGATTCAAACCTAGACCACGTGGATTATAATTTATAGTACTTATCACTGATCTAACTTTATTTATTAGCGAAAATGCTTCTAATTTTATATTTATTAATTTTAATATATATTTCATTCATGCAGTTGGACCAACAACCACTAATTGAACCAGTGATCTATTGACTAAGTACCCCAACAGAATTGATAATCGATTCGAGTTTGATAAGATTGTGTGATACAATATTAAGTTAGTACTTTCTTGCATTACGTTTGAATATTTTTTAATTATTGAGAAATGGAAAACTCAAAACCAGGTCCGTTTGAATTCAGTTCTCAAAAAAAATAGTTCTAAAATTTCTGAACAAAAAAAATAAAAAAACCTATTTGGTAATGTCTGTTTTGTAAAAATAATTCTAAAATTTATAATTGTTTTTAATTTTTAGAATCAAATTTAGAAAACATATTTAAGTTATTTTTGTTTTAAATTTTAATTTTTAACTTTAAAAATAAAAAACACAGAAAATAAATATTTCATTAATTATTCGATAAAATATTTTTAAGAAAAAAATAAAAAAAGTAGAACACAATCAACATGTCCATGTAATTTATTCTGAAATTACTTACTAACCCTATGCTTTATTTTCTCAATCACCTATTTTCTCCCTGGATATTTTATGTTTCGCAGAGGCTAATTGGATGAAATAACCCAATTTCTAATATAATTAAAATGAATTTGGATAAAATAAATTACATATGAAATAAGTAATAAAAAAAGTTAAAGATAAATTATATAGTTTTTGAATTTTTTTCTTATAATTTTATGGAGTATAATATTGTAACAACTAATTAGGATTATTATCAATCAATTTTATCAAGGGAAAAGTTCACCAATGTCCCTGTGGTTTGCTTCAGAATCACTTATGCTCCTGTGATTTTTTTCCTATCACATATGTCCCTGTGCTTTGTAAAAAATAAGAAACCATAGGGGTATATGTGATAAAAAAATATACCCTTTTACAAACCACAGGGGCATATGTGATAAGAAAAAAACCACAGGGGTATAAGTGATTCTGAAGTAAACCACAGAAATATTGGTGAACTTTTTCTTTTTATCAAATATGAAAAATCATAACTATACAAAAATAGAAATAAATATAAAATATAAAGAATTATAATCATACTGAAATAAAAATAAAAATAAAAATAAATATAAGCGTTAGATCAATATAAAGTAAGTAACAATTGAAATTGATTGATAATACCAGTAACCTAATTAACTGTTACAATCATCGCTAATTTTATAACCACAGGTAGCAAACTAGCCCAACACAATCTAACAATCTAACAAATAATGAGCCCAAGTCAATAAGAAGTTAAGAACGAAAGGTTCACTAAACACAACGGTTTTGCTAGGGTTTATGAGCTGAATAACAGAGGTGAGAAATTAGAGAGGGAAGAAGGGTTGAGAAGATGGGAAGAAGAAACGGTGGAAGGTCATTGCAAGACACCCTTCGTCGTCGATTGGATTCTTGCAAGTTAAAGTATTCTACCGTTGATGAACTCGTCACCCATCTTCGCTCAACTTACCCTGATTACCAGCGAACGAAGCACCAAACTTTAACTCGATTTGTTCAGGAAGCTCTTCAATCGAGCAAAAAGCCCAGTGATACTTCTAAACTGAAGCATGACGAAGATGATGACAATGAGGATCGAAGTGCGTCTCGAAAGAGAAGGAAGAAAATCGATGAAGACGAAGACAGATTGCAAAAGATGGAAGCATTACACATCAGAAGTAGGATGCGGATCAATCAGATTCATGGCCCTCCATCGACATCCTCTGCTTCAGCTTCGGAGAGCGAAGAAGATGAGGCTGTTTCTGTGTCGACGTCGGAGGAGGATGCAGTTTACGCGGAGAAGGTGGAACCTGCTTTTGATTTGATGAAAACGATGTTGCGGAATTCGTATGCTGGAACGAAGGTTGTGATGGAGGAAAAGAACGTTGAATTGGAGGTTCCTAATAGTAGTAGGGTCGCTACTCTTGTGAATGGGGGTGGAGGTGAGGCCAAGTCGACGAGGAAGCAATCGAGGGGGTCTGTTTCCGACGCACGCAGCGGCGGTAGGGGCAGTGATGTTGAGGTGAAGGGGAAAGATGGACCGAAGTTTAGTGATTTAGGTGGAATGAAGGAGGTTTTGAAGGAATTGAAGATGGAAGTGATTGTGCCATTGTTTCATCCACAATTGCCTAGAGAGTTAGGGGTGAGGCCAATAACTGGAATTTTATTGCATGGACCACCTGGCTGTGGAAAGACTAAACTGGCTCATGCTATAGCTAATGAGACTGGTCTTCCATTTTATCAGATTTCAGCTACTGAGGTGATTTCTGGAGTATCAGGTATTATGAAATCAATCACATGGTTCAACTTTTAGTTAGTTGCATTTTGTTACTTTTAGGTTTAGATTAGTCTAGTATTTTATCAGATTCAATAGATAGCTGTGTCTTTCTTAATTAGGTGCATCTGAAGAAAATATTAGAGAGCTTTTCTCTAAAGCACACAAGACTGCTCCATCAATTGTCTTCATTGATGAGATTGATGCAATTGGTTCAAAGAGAGAGAATTTACAGCGGGAGATGGAGAAACGAATTGTGACGCAGTTGATGACTTGCATGGATCAATCAAACAGGCTTCTGCAACCGGCTGATGGTTCTGAGAGTTCACATGATTGTCCTGGGTATGTTCTTGTAATTGGAGCTACGAATAGACCTGATGCTGTTGACCCTGCCTTGAGAAGGCCTGGTCGGTTTGATCGTGAGATTATGGTTGGTTTTCCTGATGAATCTGCAAGGGAGGAGATCCTTTCTGTGCTTACTCGCAATCTTAAACTTGATGGTTCATTTGATCTACGAAAAATAGCCAAGTCTACGCCTGGATTTGTTGGTGCTGATTTGGCAGCTCTGGCTAACAAGGCTGGTAATCTGGCGATGAAGAGAATAATTGACGAAAGGAAACATAAATTATCTCAAGATCTCACGAGTGAGCATGAGCATACTGAAGACTGGTGGAGGGAACCTTGGTTGTCTGAAGAAATGGATAAGCTTGCCATCAAAATGTCTGATTTTGAGGTGCTCTAGATTTTTGTCTTTGATTACCTTTATTATTATTATTTGTAATCCTCGGGAGCCTTTTTCTAGATTTGTATCACATACCATTACATCTATTTGTTAATGCCAATTTTTACTATCCTATGTTTAGAAGGAGATCTTAACCTCCACCTTTTATTCTCTAATATGAATTCTTATTCTATAAAAGAGAAAAAAATTGTTGTTACAGGTCTTATATTCTAGTCTTAGATTTACCTTGAAAATATGTCTGCATAAAAGATGATAATAATTATATTTATCTGGATCTTTATGCAGGAAGCAGTCAAAATGGTGCAACCTTCATCAAAACGAGAAGGGTTCTCTTCCATTCCTAATGTAAAATGGGAAGATGTTGGTGGGCTTGATCTTTTAAGACAGGAGTTTGAACGCGAAATTATAGGGCGTATAAAACAGCCCATGAACTATGAGGTAATGTTTAAATAATACACTTTTTAAAAATTGTGATTTCTGTTGTGTTAAAGCGAACTCATGGATCAAGCAATTTAGAAAATATTCAGTTGATCTGACTTTAATATATTTATGATCCTTTCTGTTGTTGAGCCTCATGATTCAGTTGAGTTTTTCTTTCTTGTAATTAAATAGAGAGATGTAGCTGTAATAAAATAGGTGATGCATGATATTTACAACGCATTGCTTGTATTTTGTAAAAAGGAAAACATCAAGGCAGTCTACTTCTTTCCTGGGATATAATTCTAGAGAACGAGTTGGGGAAGACTTGAGTTAGGATCCTGTATATTTTATTTGTTTTGCTGCTGTTACAGCTTTACAAAAAAGAATATTGCAAACTGCACCATAATCAATTTGAATTCTGTTTTTTCTTAAAACAATATTCATTTCAGCCATTTTTCTTTCTTCAAATTCATAGGTCAAAATAGTTGTCATAATTGGAGTGAAGATCCTCTGTATCTATTACTTTTATGAGCCTGTTTTTGTCGAGCAACTTACAGTTAGTTGAGCTTCCTTGTCTGCGTAATAGTATTTGCAAAATAGATGATCAATAATTTAGTAACTGTATTCTCCATTTCTCATACTAAATTTCTTGTTCTAGAAATTGATCAATTGATTTTTGTCTTCACTATTCCATGAAAAATTATTGGAAGTTGTATATTACAGGATGATCACTGATCAGTGTTCTTGGATTTATCTATTTCAGAGATTAGGGATAGATCATGAGACTGGATTTTTGCTCTATGGACCTCCAGGTTGTGGTAAAACACTGATTGCAAAAGCCGTTGCAAATGAGGCTGGAGCTAATTTCATTCATATTAAGGTCTGTCGAAATACTCCGTCATTTTCTCATTAGTTTTTGTTTATCCTTTTTGAATAAGCCATTTTTTAAATGATTTAAGCTTCTTTTTTTATTGTTAGGGACCTGAACTTTTAAATAAATATGTTGGAGAAAGTGAGCTTGCAGTTCGGACATTGTTTAGTCGTGCAAGGACTTGTGCTCCTTGTATAGTTTTTTTTGATGAGGTATGTGGTTCTCTAAGAATGTTGGTTAACTATAAGCAAATACTTTATCATCGCATAATCATTTGATTTCAAATTTGTGACCTGAGGCAAAGATTATTATCTAAAACTTTCTTTCTATGAAGGAAATATCATGTACCAAGTCGATTTTGTTGTGTTTATTAATTGTTAAATCTCTCTCGCTCTCTTAATCTCTAACGTATGTGCATTGATAATTGTGTGTTTGGAAAAGTTACTTTTTTCTTAATGAACAAGTTATGCGCAAGGCCTGTGTGGTTATCCCATATTAATTTCCTTGGTTCATGAAGGATTGGAGTTCCCTACAACCAGTCATTTAGTACTTTCATTATTTGTGAGATTTATTTTTTGCCATTTTAAGGTGGATGCTTTGACAACCAAGGGTAAAGAAGGTGGATGGGTTACTGAGCGACTATTGAAACAGGTCAAACAATTACTAGTTTGTAGAATGAAAAAAATACTTATGCTGACTTCATACCCTCAATAACTTGGATAAAATGATGTAAATTATATGAAATTGCAGTTGCTTACCGAGTTAGACGGTGCAGAGCCGCGGCAAGGTGTTTTTGTGATTGGTGCTACAAATAGGTAAATTCTGTTCATTACCTCCATTCTCTTATTAGTTATTTAACATCACATCACGTTGTATTCAAGTCGGTTTCTCATTTTGCAGGCCCGAGGCGATAGATGATTCTATCCTCCGACCTGGTAGGTTTGGTAGACGTCTTTATGTTCCTCTTCCAAGCCCGGAGGAGCGAGTTTTGATATTGAAAGCTCTTGCAAGGAAGAAGCCTGTTGATGCCAGTGTGGATCTCGGTGCAATAGGAAGGATGGAAGCCTGTGATAATTTAAGCGGAGCTGATCTTGCCGCATTGGTTTGTCTTTGCTTATGTTGTCTGTTTCATCCCTTACTTTACCAATAGTGCATGTCATGTGTATGTTCTTCGATACATGTTTGAATATAGGAGGGAATGTGGATACTGGATAGGATTATAAGAAAAAATGGGGAGTAAATTTAAAGAACTTTTGCTTATTTTCTTGACTGTACAGATGCACCAAGCAGCAATGGCCGCCCTTGAAGAGATATTGATCTCAACTAAGACAATTAGTGATGGAGATACTATCAAGACAAGTCATTTTGAGGTAGCACTGAGTAAAGTCTCTCCCTCTGTGTCAGACATGGTATAACCCGTTTTGTTGTATTTCTTTTACACATTTTCTTACTGTGGATAAATTAATTTTAAAAATTTACAGTGGAATTTATTTCGTATTTTTGCAGCAAAATAAGTACTACCAGCAATTGTCAATGAGGAAGGAGTGGAAGCGGTAATTGTCAATGACCTTTTTATAGTAGGTGATCGCATTGCTTCCAGGATATGGTGGAAGAAACCATTTCTATTATGGTGAAGTATGGAGTGTATTTGCTTCTGTATGAGATGGACATGATTCCTGCTATCAGGATATAATTTTTGGTGAATGGTTGTAATTTATGGTTCTTTTTATCATTTCATATTGGTTAGAATTTGTTGTAGTCAATGTTACTTGAATATCAATAAGAGTGATGGCATAAGTTGGATGCCGAGTTAAAACAAATGCATTTTTTACGGCTGCTTATACCATTCTGAAATCGGAAATAAGGAAAACAAGTATTGTGATGCTTTTTGCTTCATATGCATAAAACATAATTTAATGTTAATTTTAGCTCTTTTTGGTTCAAATGTCACTTCATGCTATTTTCAGTTGTCCATCTACATACTGACGTAAAACTTTACATAAATGAAGGTTCAATGCCAGGAAAATCAAAATCGACATGTTTGACAAACTTGAAATTCATTAACACAATTATAACAAATTATATAATTTTAACTAACGTCTTATCATTACTAAGCTCTCAAGTTACGGGCAAGGCCTGTGTGGTTATCCTATTAATTTTCTTGGTCAATTTTTTGTTCTTTAATTCACAGATTCAGTTTTTTGATTTATTCGTGAGCTTTAGCGGATGTATATTTCATATTTTCTATTTATACACAGGTTTGTTGCACTTTTTAAGTTCATGCTTGATATGGTACTAAAATTAGAACTAATGCTGAAAGGAATTTGATCTCTAACTCAAACTCTTAGTGATGTTTTCACGATTCATATGCATAAACATAATTTAATGTTAATTTTCCTGATCAATAGACAAAATTAATGTCAGTTTTTTTTTTTAATAACAAAATTAATATTACCTGTTTTTTTTTTTGGAAAAACTTCAAAAAACCCCCTACAAGTTTTCTCAAAATCACTTAACCCCCTCCCCAAAAATTTTAATCATTTACCCCCCTACTCAAAATTTTTTTATCACTTACCCCCCTAATTTGATTTTCCATCCAAAATTTTGTTAAATTTTTTAAAAGGTACCAAAATTACCCTTAATAGAAAAAAGAAAAACATAATTTCCTTACAAACTACTTTGTAACTAGTTTAATATGTCTTTTTAATTTAAGGGATGATTGCTTAATTTTAAGCTTGCAAACAATTGCTTAATTTTAAGTTTTATATCAAATCATTTGTTATCATTATTATAACAAGGAGATATTCTCACTTAGTCCCCTTAAATCACCTTGTTGTTTGAGAATTAGCTATGATAAAACATAAAGTTTTTTAAAAGGTACCAATTGTTTGCAAGTTTAAAATTAAGCAATCATCCCTTAAATTAAAAAGACATATTAAACTAGTTACAAAGTAGTTTGTGAGGAAATTATGTTTTTCTTTTTTCTATTAAGGGTAATTTTGGTACATTTTAAAAAATTTAACAAAATTTTGGATGGAAAACCAAATTAGGGGGGTAAGTGATAAATTTTTTTTGAGTAAAAGGGTAAATGATTAAAAATTTCGGGGAGGGGGTTAAGTGATTTTGAGAAAACTTGTAGGGGGGGTTTTTGAAGTTTTCCCTTTTTTTTTTCAGTGACTAAAATATATGAACCGAAAGATATTTTTATCAATATTGTACTTTTGGTGGTATGTAGATGTGTCCCAAAGATGGTGAAGTATATTAATATAAGGGTATCTATAGTAACAATAGTAGAGACCAAAGCACTGTAGATGCTTTCCATGATGTGCATAAAGAGAGGGGGTGTGTATGGAAAAGATGACTTTGTAGAGGGGCAGAGTAATAACATAGGCAGAGAGTCTAAGAGAGGATCTCCCTTCGTGTGTGAGGGGTGTATTTAGAGAGGAAAGTCTTTTCCAGTATGGGAGAGCAAACTGGTCAATTGCATGAGTTGTCTCATCAAACCATGTCTTGTCTTGAGACAAGGTATGCTGCCCACTGTAATGTACAGGGGCAGCAGTACAAGGAAAGAGAATGTCCTAATGATGAGCCTCTATGGCTTGCCATGAGAGCCCTCTAGAAGGTTTTAGATTGTGAGCTTAGTAACATGGGGTCCAATCTTGGTAGGCCTAAATGCGTATCCAGAAAAAATACTAAGGTAGGTTAGATCTTAGCTGTAAGACTCTACATTTCTATGTTTACGGGGTTAACTAATCCTATCTAAAAAATTCAGCTCTATCTTTTTTGGGATTTATATTTTTTTTTATTTGAAATTATTGATAGAAATTGAACACATAATCTAGTATAAACCACCCAAACCCCTCAGCACCAGACCAACTTTAGTAGCTTTTAGGGATTTACATTTAAGCTAATCCAATTCACCCTTCTGATTTTTCATCTAGCTTGTCTCTTTTTACATTTGGCACATAAATAAAACAAAATGCAGCCAAAGTTTTTAAGATTCTGAAATGATGGCTTGATATAAGGCACATTTTAAGCAAATTTTACCCGTTCATCTACATTATCATTCTATTTTATTCACTAAAACCATTGACTAAATTCGTTTCAATTTTATCTCAGGTTTGTCTTCTCGTGATTATTCTCTTTATAAATGCTACCTAAACACATTTATACCAATAATAATAATAAGAAAAAAATATTTGTCATTTTAAAGGATATAACTTTGTGTTATTTTAGATCATAACCGTTAATTTTCATCAATCAATGATTGTAGTTTATTGTGTATTACTAATTAATTAACGATTAGGATCTAAAATGACACAAAGTTATATCCTTTAAAAGGATAAATATTTTTTTCAATAATAATAATAATAGTTTAAATTCTTTAAAATAAATATTAAATAGTTGAATAGATAATTAATGTGTAGTTACTTTGAATTTACTTTTTGAAATTCAAAGGGTTTTTTGACCCTTTTGCCCTTCATTAATTAAATAATAATCATTTTTCCCCTTACCCAAAACTATTCACCAACATGCCTCTCTTTAATCGATTAAGTTCATAAGTTAATCGATTAAACGGTTAAAAAATGCATAAAACGTTGATCCGTGATTTAATCGATTAAATCACGCCAGAAACCCTATATTTACATTTCTCGATCTTATTTGACCTATATCCATTTTTTATACCAAAATCTCTCTTGTTTCTCATATGTAATCCAACCTATCAAGAGGGTATTTCATCCCACCATCTCGAAAGCCTTAATCTTGTGAAATCATTGTCATTGCATTTACATATTCCTTTATTGTTGGAAAAATTCGAACCCAAAAATCCAAACCCTAGTCCCAAATTCGTATGAAAGATGAGCTCAATTTCAAACATGTATGTTACAGTGATCTACCACGATGGAAGGCATTTTGAAAGTTCCAATGGTGTTCAATTTGAAGGAAAAACGAAAATGTTGAAAATCAAAAGAGGCACTACATACAACGAGCTCAAGGAGAGAATTACCCAAAATTGGGGCTACAAAGCAACCAATGCATTCATCGGATGATAGCCAAGATAAAGTCTACAGTGGGTAAGGATGTTATATACTACATTAGGAACGATATATGTGATGATGAAGATGTGGAATGCCTCATAGATGCAATTGTTGACTGAAAATTTCAAAATTTTATTAAGATATATGTTGAAATTGATTGTGGTCAATCTTCATCTGCACATATGCATACAAGAAGTTCACAATATTTTGGTCAAGAAGTCCTCAGATGTACCCCCTCTAACACTGTAACACCCCGTATATATCCGGTAATGTTATCATATCATCGTATTAAGCTGCACTTAATTAAAATTGCGAAATATCTTTTTCTTTTCAATTATGACGTCATTATACTTAGCCAAGTTGAATACTTAATTCATTTTCAAAACATTGCCTGTATGTAAATTGCAAAAGACAGCTAACTGAAATACCTCATAACATAAATAACATAAGTATGTCTCTAGTCACGGAACTGCAACACGTAGACCGGACAACCCTGATAGTTTATACAACCCAGTTAAACTTAAACATAACAGAATCAAAGTGGCATGGACAAATCTCATGCTCACCAAAATAAGGCATCAAACCCAACATAAGTCTCAACATCAACAACATAATAATAAGACGGAAAACATAAACAGCATCCAATCCAGTCATGTCAGCATAAATATAACAATAATCATCAACTAAGCTCCGGCCTGCTGCCGCCAGAGACATCAGCCCCCAAATTACCTGAACCTGAAATAAGCACCCCCAAACGTGGGGTGAGATCTTTAAACAAGAAATTTCAGTAAGACAAGGGGTCCTCCAGGATCTTCCACCCCAAGCTCACTTACATGTGCAATATAAGTTCAAAAGCAGTTTATCAGCATAAGTTCTAAAATAGTGCAATGCAACAGATAATCATGTCATGTGTGTCAATTTTATTATACTGATCAGAGAAATTCAAGAATACATCTATTACCCACACAATATGCAAGACGCTGCGTGCACCCACCCACAGACTCACCATCTTGTATGACACTACATACTCAGGCTTACCGACTAAGTGGAAAAAACACATACATATTATAACCCATTGCACATACCAGCTCAAAAGCATTTCCAAATATCCAAAGCATATAACACAACATGCATATAAACCATTCCCCCATGGGGTATGGTGGAACCACAACATGGCTAAACCGAGGACACGAAAGCTTACCTTGCAAGCTAACAATCCAAGCCAAGAGTTCACACACCGCTCAAGGCCCACAAACAGCACAATCACAATCTGTTTGTATCATAATTCATCATCAATAATAATAGCACATAAGCTTAAACATAAAGACAACGTTTCTCTTTTACGTTTTACGTCTTAAGGCTTCACACAAAGCCACAAGCCATTAATCACTTGATTCTGACTTAATTCAATTATTACAGAAGTTCAACTTCCTCAAACTAGGGTCCACAAACCCCAAACATCAGTTCTGGATGAACAGTAAGCTACTGTTCCTCGAAAACCCAGAATATCCGGATATTGGTCGGGTACATATTCAGATATCAATATTCGGATATGCATATCCGGATATCCATATTTGGATATCACAAGACCCCATATCCGGATATCCATATCCGGATATTTCGCGACAGAATGCAGTTTTTGCATTTCGCGAGATATCCATCCAAAGGTTGGGTTTTTAACCCATTCCAATGTTAAAGCATGCATTTTTATTCTATTTTAAGTCCGCATACCACTTGGTTACTTATTTA